TGCAGCTGGCTCTTGGCACAGCTGCTACTGCTGGACTGGTCTCCTGACCTCCCAAGTATGGGGAGGAGGAGCAGGTTCAAGGGTGGACAAACAGACAAGTTCTAAACCTGTATTTATCAGACTCCGGTGTGTGTGAGAATCACATCAAGATGTGGAAGTCGACTCAGCAGGTCCTGGGTGGGAAATGTAGTTTATCTTTCTGTCCACAGACAGTGGTCCACAGAGAGATTCCAGAAGGGGCAACTAGGGGCACAGTGATGAGCAAAAGAAGCTGGAATAACTCAGTTACTTCCCAAATTTGATGTTGTAGTTGTGAACAAGAAATGCAACCAGGGACTCCAAACTATAATGTTGCAATCCAAGATTAATAGAACCAAAGGGTTAATCCCAACTGGGCTGACTGAAGTTGCTATAAGCTCCAGGTTTTGGTCTTCCTCCTTGCAATACACATTTGGTAACAGACTTAAACACATAGAAATGGAGGCATCAGGGCTGGAGAGACTGCCTGCTCTTCCAAAGGTCCTGAGTTCAATTCCCAGCAACCACATGGTGACCCACAACCACCTGTAATGAGTGTCTGGTACCCTTTTCTGGCCTACAGGTGTACACGCAGACAGAATATTGTATATATTATAAATAAATTTTTTTAAAAAATCTTTTAAAAAGAAATGGAGGCATCCATCCATTTTTTAAAAAAACAGAAAAAAAGATAAGAAAACGTTTCAGAAATTCAAAAACTTGATGATAAAAAGCTGAAAAGTGCAAAAAATAGAAATGTTAAAAGTTTGGCAGAACACCTACAGTCTGGTACATGAGAAGAAGTCCCATCCCAAAGGCAACCAACACAGCCCTGGTAAAAATATTGACATTCTTAACCAAGAGAAGCTCACCTCAAAACCAACTGCGGGTTTCGGGGTGACATCGTTCCCCAAGTGGTTGGGTCAGGAGGACAGAGGAAACTACCCTGCACGGCTGTAGACCCAAGAACTGAAGAGCATCCCTCCAGCGTGGGGATTAGCACTTGGAAGGTCCTGAGAGCATGGGAACAGGCCCTCCACCTGCACCAAACTCAGTGCTGTGTGGGTCAGCCCCACAGTCCGAACACACTTGGGAGACAAGTCCCAGTCATAACATTAGCCACACAAGGTGTAGGGTTAGAGGACGAGAGACCCTGCATGGTGCACAGCTCTGACCAACATTGGGCGTAACCATAGAAAAGGCGCGGCCACAAGTTCACCCGCCGTCCCCCACCCAGTGCACGTAACACAGTCTCCGTGTTCTGAGGACCAGGAACGAGCTGTCTGGTCCAGGGTTTTCCCTTGGCATGGTTCTCACTTGACTACATTTTAAAAACCACATGTTGGGATGTTTTTTAAGCCTTATTGTTTATTTATATATGATGTGTATGCATATATTTTCATGACTGGAAAATCTTTTTTCTTTCTTTTCATTCTTCTGTTTCGGCTTTGCACTCTTGCCTCCTCTACCATGCTTTCACTCACATTTTGACTTTGTCTTACTCTTTTAAAAATCCCTCTCAGCTGGGTAGAGGGGAGCACATCTTTAATCCCAGCACTTGGGAGGCAGAGGCAGGGGGATCTCTGAATTTGAGGTCAGACTGGTCTACAGAGAGAGTTCTAGGACAGCCAGACTACATAGAAAACCCATCTCAAAAAAAAATCCCCTCATTTCTATTTTTATTTCCCTTACATTTATTCAATTTGTCTTTCAAACTCCTGGGAAACTATAAGGTTTTCTTTTTCTTTTCTGTCTTTGTTCTTTCCTCTTCCTTTCTTCTACATTCCTCCTGTTCTTTTTACATTTCACTGATTTAACTTCTCCTCACCTCCGTTTCCTCCTCCCCTTACCTCCTCCCTATATGCCATTCATTAATAATTTCCACATTTTCCCTAAATAATTTTTTTCTTTTTTTTTTCTTTTGGAAGGATTTTACTCGTATTCATTGGATCTCAACTGGAAATTTTTCTTTGATTCAGACAGTAGCGTTACAGTCACAATACATCCTTTGCAACCAACTGATTTAAAAATGAAAAAAGGTCTTTCCGGCCTGACACAAATGTTCTCGGTACCTCCTGAAAGTCATCCATGCCTGAAAAGACATTAGGCCCGTTAGTGACTCTTGCCCCACGGTGTTCTTTTCTTTTGATTTTCTTCAGCAAAATATGTCCATGACTAGTATTAAAACTTTTAATTCGATATTCAGTACCTGGCAGGCTTCCTTTAGTTCTCTCTTTTTTCTCTGATTCTTTAGAAAATGATGACCCCAAAGATTCCTGAGACTGTCTATAGTATTTCAGTTGACTGGAAAAGTTTTCTCTCTCTGTAGAAGGAGCGGTGGGCCGCTTCCTGCCGCCCGCCTCCCAGCTAGCTTTACCCCTGAAATAATTACATGGAAACTGTATTCTTTAAAACACTGCTTGGCCCATTATCTGTAGCCTCTTATTAGTTAACTCTCACATATTGATCTAACCCATTTCTAATAATCTGTGTAGCACCACGAGGTGGTGGCTTACCAGGAGGATTCTAACCTGCAGCTGTCTCGGAGAGGAGAGTCATGGCGACTGCCTCATTGCCTTCTTCCTCCCAGCATTCTGTTTTGTCTACTCCACCCATCTAAGCTGCTGTCCTATCAAAAGCCAAGACAGTTTTTTTATTAACCAATGAAAGTAACACATAGACAGTTAACCCTCCTCCATCATTTCCCCTTTTTCTGTTTAAACAAAAAAGAAAGGCTTTAACTTTAACATAGTAAAATTGCATATAACAAAACAGTTATCAAGCAAGAATTATAGTTACAATATTTATATCTACTTTATCTTTTATCATAACTAAGGAAAACTATAACTAACTATTCTTCAACTCCATCAAAGACTTCAGAAGGATATAATATTACATAATTAAACAAAAAATAAGCAACTTCAAACTCTAGAAATGACAGAGACATCTTGCTGCCTGGACAGTCACCCAAAGTTCTTTTGTACCATTGGGGCATCCATCTTCAGCCTACAGGCCCATAGTATCCAGCAGACATTTCCATGAAGCAGGAAATTTCAAAGGCAGTTCAGTCACTATCTGCTATGTCCTGCAGAATGTCTCACAGACTCTTTCATGAATCAGGAAACCCGAAAGGCCATCTCACCTTTAGACAAGTTCAGTAGTCCTCTCTCTGCAGGTTCTTTGTATCCAGTCTATGCATCAGTCCAGGCAAGAGCAGTTTCTTGCCCAAATGACTATCAAACTCTTCAATGCCCATCTTCCTTTTGAAGTAGATTTGTGCTGCCAGGAGCAGACATATCTCATTGTCATGAAAAGCCCTAAGTTATTAAAACATTAAATGCCATATTCTGAAGTCTTTGAAAGATATGAAGAATGCCTATCTAACTGAAATATATCTCTATATATCTAGAAAATCTAACTAACATGACTACAAGATTGACTATTATCAATAATTATCCATTAACAACCTATATTTCCTAATTACACATTACATTTTTAAATGAACTACACAATCACAATACCTTAATCAAGATCAGAAATACATATACATATAACAAAATTGACCTTAAAATCCATACCAATGCAAATTATTCATATCTATATCATCCCTCGTGGTTGTAATTACCAAAGTTGTCATCCCTGTAGTTACCAAAGTTGTCATCACTGTAGAAAATAGACTCAGCATATTCTTTACTGTTGAATTTTTTGTTATGCTGACTCTTCTTTGATGTCATGTAACTTCCTAATATATGTCCATGATGCTTCTAGCATTCAGCTTGTTCTTTTTTTTTGTCTTTTTTTCCATAAATAATTTTTAACTTTGTGACACATTGTTTGTTTACTTTGTAATTTTATTACTCCATGAACATTAGTGATATATTAGTGGTTTTAACTAACTTTATGTATCTGTATGTTATATCTTGGACAGTTTAATGCTGCTGAGGTTACAGCAATTTGATTTCTCCTTTCTGAGTGGTACTGGGGAATTGAACTGTCTAAAATAGGCTGTTCGATAAGACTTTAAATATAAACCCAGGAGAGCTCTAAACCAACAGGCGTCCAAATCACAGTGCAGGAACACAAGAAACATGGAAAAGCAAAGCAACATGACCCCTCCAAATGACCTCAAAGATACTACAATTGGTAGAATAATGGAAGACAATGTCAAAAGCTGACAAGTGGGGGCTGGAGAGATGGCTCAGAGGTTAAGAGCATTGCCTGCTCTTCCAAAGGTCCTGAGTTCAATTCCCAGCAACCACATGGTGGCTCACAACCATCTGTAAGGAGATCTGGTGCTTTCTTCTGGCCTGCAGGCATACACACAGAAAGAATATTGTATACATAACAAATAAATAAATAAATAAAATTTTTTTTAAAAAAAGCTGACAAGTAAAAAATAAATAAATAAATAAATAAATAAATAAATAAATAAATAAATAAATAAATAAATAAAGTCACTTAAGATGTGATGGTTTGAATGAAAATGTCCCTCTGAGCCTCAGGTAGTTGGTGGTGGTGGTCGGGGAGGTGGGGCAGAGGCTGGAGGGAGTGCAGGTTTCAAGGGTTCACAGCCTCAGGCCCCTTCCAGTTCACCCTCTGCTTCATGTTTGCGGTGGAAGAGGAGATTTCTCAGCCTCCTGCTCCTGCAGTCCTGCCCGCCACTTGCTGCCAGGCCTCCCCACCGTGGTGGACTTTATCTATCTGGAACCGTAAGCCAAAATAAACACTTTCAAAGTCACTTTGGTCATGGTGTTTTATGACAACAGAAAGTAACTAAATGTGGGGTCATTGAGATGGTTCAGCAGGGAAAGGCACCTTCTGCCACGCCTGAGTTCAATTCATGGTACTCACTTGGTAGAAAGAGAACTGACTCCCCCGGGCTGTCCTCTGACCTCTATATGTGTGCCGTGCTGCCTGTACTTGTGTGTGCATACACCCACGATAAATGTAATTTTGTAAGACTTTTTTTAAAAAAATGCTTCAAAGAGGATATAAACAAGCAAATGAATCAAGTTACAAAATTGAAAGTAAGCAGCAACATAGATGAAAGGTAGAACAGGCAAGAAATTCAGCAATATTGATGAAGTCAGTAACATCATAGAAACATTCCACAAGGAAAATACGACTTTGGAAAACATTAAAAAGTTGGAAATGAAGCGCTGAATGAATCTAGTTCAAAAAACTGAAAAGCGTTGCTGTGTTGGTTAATCTTCAAGACAGCTTGCCTGGGTTTGGAATCGCTTAGGAGACACTCCTCTGGGCTCGTCGGTGCAGAGTTCTGGACGGGTTTACCTGAGAGGGAAAACACTGAATGTGATCGGGGTCCTAGAGGGAAGGAAAGAGGACAAAGGAGGAAGCCATTTGTGAAGATAACCTTCACCAGAGTCCCAGTGGTAACTCACCTCTCTGAGGGTGTCCCCAGAAAGCTTTAACTGAGAAGGGAAGCTCCTTCTTGGATGTGGGCAACATCATCCCATGGGATGAGGTCTGCGTTATAAAGGAGAACTCAAGGTGAAGATGAGCAGTGTGGCCTGCTGCCACATCCTCCTGCCTTCAGCCAATCCCCACTAAGATGAACTTCATCCCTTCTAAAACTATGGGATAAAATAAGGCCTTCCCCCATGAAGTTATCTTTATCAACTGTGTTATCACAGCAAGAAGGAAAGTAACTTATTTGGCCACTTAGGCACCAGCGTTCATCTCTCTCTACTTTTTTTTAGAATTTACTAATTTATTATGTATGCGGTGTTCTTCCCACATGTGTGCCTGCAGGTCAGAAGAGGGACCAGATCTCTTTATAGATGATTGTGAGCCACCATGTGGGATGTGATTGCTGGGAACTGAACTCGGGACCTTTGGACCTGAGCCAATGCTCTTAATCATCTCTGAGTTTCCAGCCCAACCTCTTACTACTTTCTGACTGGGAATTGACTGGGTTGCTGGGAATTGAACTCAGGACCTTTGGACCTCAGCCAGGGCTCTTAACCTCTGAGCCATCTTTCCAGCCCAACCTCTTTCTACTTTCTGACTGTGGATACCAAGTGAGCCACAGCCACAGACAAAGCCACTCTTACCACGTGCTTGCCCCACCATGCTGAACCTAATGAAAAACAGGTACAGTATCACATAGCAATGTCCGTAACTCAAATCCATCCCATCAAAACCGGAACAAGGGGTTGGAGACTGCTCAGTGGTTAAGAGTACCTCTTGCAGAGGACCTGGGAGAGGTTTCCAGCTCACAACTGTCTGTAATTCCAGTTCCAGCTGATCCAATGCCCTCTTCTGATCCCCTTAGACACCAGCCAAGCAGATGTTCAAATCCTAGTGAGGAAATAACATGGAGTAGCTGTAGGAAGCAAGGGACCATGTGAGTAGTCCCTTATAAGCTAGCGATGAGAGACAGCATCTTTCTACACAGTCCAACCTGCCTTCAGCCTGATCATTCTTCCTCCTCAGTCCCCAGAGTGCAGGGACTACAGGACAGAGACCAAGGCTTTAAAGAGAGCTTCAGAAATAACTGATTCGTCTGGCATCTGTGGCACACAACTTTGATCTCAAAAAGCCGAGTTTGTGAGTTTGTGAGTTTGCAGCCAGCCTGATCTACTTAGGGAGTTCTAGGCCAGATGTTGTTACATACCAAGATCATGGGGCAAGGGAATGTGGGGGTAGAATCCAGTAACAATATACAAACTTTATTTGGCTCCATTTACGAACATAAAAGGGGACTTGGATTTATTAAATTGGGAACTACTGCCAGGATGATAAATGATTTTTTTTTTGAGACAAGGTGTCTCTGTGTAACAGTCCTAGCTGTCCTGGAACTCATTTTTGTAAACTAGGCTGGTCTTGAACTCACGGAGATCCGCCTGCTCTGTCTCCCAAGTGCTGGGATTAAAGGTGTGCACCACCACCGCCTGTCGTTGAATGATTCTTTTAATTGTCTCAGATATGGTAAATTTTAAAGGGTTCTTGCCTTTCATAAATGCATAATAAGAATAACTCTAGTCTTATTGACTATTAAAAAATTAAAGATAGCAAAACAATTAGGAAGGATATAGAGAAAATTGAACTGTTATATGTATCACCAGTGGAAACATTCAATGCTAGAGCTACTGTGGGAGGCTGCTCAGAACACCAGTGTACCTGAGATCCCGCTTCTGAATCTATGCCCAGGGGAACTGAAAGCACAGACTCACACAACTGTTTGCACACTCACATTCTTAATAGTATTGTTCACAATAGTCAAAAGGTAGAAGAGCCGGGGCTGGAGAGATGGCTCAGTGGTTAAGAGCATTGCCTGCTCTTCCAAAGGTCCTGAGTTCAATTCCCGGCAACTATATGGTGGCTCACAACCATCCTTAATGAGGTCTGATGCCCTCTTCTGGCCTGCAGACATACACACAGACAGAATATTGTATACATAATAAATAATTTTTAAAAAAAGGAAAACCGAAAGGTCCCTAGGTTTAAAAAAAAATAAAATAAAATAAAGGTAGAAGAGCCAAAGGATCTATGAATGAACAAATAAAATATATTAAATACAACGGAATATCACATAGCTTTCAAAAGGAGGGAAACTCTGATGCACCCTACAGCAGGGGCTTTACACTCTATTAAATAAACAAGTCATAAAATGTCAATATTATGCTTCCAAGTATAGGAGCTTCCTAGAGTCAAGTTCACAGGAAGTAGAATGGTGGTTGACCTGGGCTATGGAAAGTGGGAATTGAGAACTACTGTTTAATGGACAGGGAAGATAAAAGAGAATTTGCATTGGACGGCGACAGGTTGTCTGCACAATGGTATGAACATGCTTAAAGCGGCTTAAATGCTAAGTGTGTATTTAGTTGTCCTTACAGCAATAGAAAATAAGTGCACAGTACCATGAACGTAAGTGAGAAAGAGGGGACTACAGAGCCCTGTGTTAATGTCTGAAACTGACTACAGGCACCTGGGGATTCACTGCCTTCTCTAGTTCCTATGTCTAAAGTTTTCAAGAATGATTCTCGTACTAAAACAAAATTAATACAAGGATATAATAAATTCCAATTTAAAGTTTAAAAATGATCAAAACTCAACAACAAAAATGTTACCACAGAGGTCAAAATTGTAACCCAAATAGACATACTTTATACAAGATTAAGACCTCAATGAAGAGAGGACAATGTGGTAAAAAAATATTAAATAATCTCGAACTGCCAGGGAAGAAACATCTGAGTTTAAGATACATCCTTCCAGGAATAAAACACCGGAGAAAAGAACCAACAAGTTGTGTTTGGTTTTTGAACTGCCTGATAGAATTACTTTCTTTTTTAAAAAAAATATTTATTTATTATGTATACAATATTCTGTCTGCATGTATGCCTGAAGGCCAGAAGAGGGCACCAGACCTCATTACAGGTGATTGTGAGCCACCATGTGGTTGCTGGGAATTGAACTCAGGACCTTTGGAAGAGCAGGCCATGCTCTTAACCTCTGAGCCATCTCTCCAGCCCCTAGAATTACTTTCTTTAGGCTCTGTGCATATGCAACTTCACGTTTTGAAAAAGCACTGAAATTAATTTGTAATGTGTACTTGTCAAAGGAAACAAAGCCAAGACTCTGTCAACGTTTTAAGAACTAGGCCAAACAACGTCCTTGTGAAGCTAGAGAGTGGACCATTTTTGTTGATATGTTTTCTTTTGTTCTGCAAAGGACATACGAACTTGGCACCTCAAAATAATCCACTTCAATCCAATGTACTTTCTCATTCATTCTCATTCATTTCTTTTTTTGTTTGTTTGTTTTTCTTTTTTTTTTTTTGACTCCCGCTCTTCCAGGACAGCTCTCATTGATGATCCTTTGTGAACCTTTTGTTTTAAACATATTTGTGTCTGAATAAAAAGGTGTTTCTTATAGACAAAAAAAAAAAAAAAGAACTAGGCCAACATCACCCAAGTATCGGAATCTTCATATCAACATGAATATGAGGGGTCTGGAGGTAGGAAGGAAGCGTGTGAGAGGAAGAGAAAGAAGAAGACATTGGAGGGGAATATGAGAAAGATACAATGACATACATGGATGAAAATGTCATAATGAGATCTACTATTTCACAGGCTATCTCTTAAAAAAGTGTGTGCTTGCTGTGGCGTGTGTGTGGAAGTCACAGGGTAACTTTCAGGAATCAGCTCTCTCCTTCCTCCGTGTGGGTCCCAGGGGTTGAATGTGGGTCATAGACTATCATAGACTCCTTTACTCACTGAGACAACTCACTGCTCCCCTCATTAGGTGGATGAGACAAGGTCTCTCTGTGTATTTTATGTAACCCTTGTTGTCTTGGAACTCACTGTTTAGAACAGGTTGACCTCAAACTCACAGAGATCTGCCTGCCTCTGCCTCCCAAGTGCTGGGATTAAAGACCTGTGCCACCACAGCCTACCGTTTTGTGATGTGAGACAGGATGGCTCAATCCTTAAACTCATTGTCATCCTAAGTTCAGACACTGCAGACTTGTGTCGGATGCCCGTCTACATTCTAGAACCTTGGTATCAACTTACTTTTAATTTTATTGTTCACTTCCAATTATAAACTTTCTATAAGACTACCAAATTGCCTTAGAATGAGCAGATTGGCTACTAAAAAAACTGTCCATTTCCCACCTCTCTTCTCTTGTCTGTTTCTTTGCCAAAGAGGCTGGAAACTAAAATAGACAAATCTCATGGTTCCCACGTGACATAGTTCCAGATGAGATGTAAATGGACGACTCTGGGGAAAGCAGGAAAAGAGGTAACACCTCAACGGAGCCTTAACCTTTGGATCTTCCAGTCACAGCATGGACGTCACACTTTAAACTCAGAAGCCAAAAAACTGCCTACCTAACAAAAGGAAGAAGAAAAAGAAAGACAGCACTTGATGGTTGAGTGGACAACCAAGCATCTCTGACGGCTATGCCCTGTTCCAGATGCCCCTCCCCATCAGTGCATCCCTATTGAAAGGGTCAGAGCCAGAAGCTTAGGTGTGAACCTCAGCCACCCAGGGCTCTTCCATGGGTGTAACACGAGGGGAATATTGTCCCAGAATACTCCCAGTCTCTTTGCTCCACCCCTACTTCCTATCTGGCTTCCCTGCCTAAACTGCCTGCCTGGCCAATCAGCGTTTTATTAAAATATGATTGACAGAATACAGACAATTCTATGAGTATTCTGGGACACAGGAAGCTCCCTCCGTCACTCCTGCGCAGACCACCGAAGAGGCAGCATGTAACTTGCCCAGCTGAGAAAGGTGCAGAGCCATGTGGCTAATGTAGATAAGGATAATGAGGTAACATAAGTTATAAGAGTTAATAAGAAGCCTGACCTAATGGGTCAATCAGTTTATAATCTTATGGAGTCCTGTGTGTGATTTTCCTTGGGAGTTGCCGCCTGTGGGGTACTGGGCAGGACAGATATCCCAACAAGCCGGCTGTCATGTTACACATGGGTAAACTAGGAGCCTGTTGTGTCAAAATC